TGCACCTCTGTCCATTTGATAGAGAGTACCAGTGACTTCACTAGGCACAGGAGGAAGGTTTAGGATGAATAGCAGGGTGTGAGGGGCAGGAGAAGCAAAGGTAAGGTGTCTCTGGAGGTGGAGAATACTGAAAATGCTTTTTTGAGCATGTCAATTTTGAAGCAAGTAGCTCTGACTCCAGAAAAAAAAAAAAAGTAGAGTGGTTCTTTTGTTTGTTTATTTTGTTTGGTTTTTCTCTTCTAGGAAAGGAAAAGGACATGATATTCACAATAGTTATTCTTCCTCAGTTTTTTAAGCATTATCTAAACTATCCAAATTCTCTATATAAGGAACTGTCTTACCTGCTGGGCTGTTTGGGCATGTTCTATGCAGTATCTAAAGATCAGATCTCCGAAACTAGTAATTTCCAAAATATTTCTTCCAAGGATGTCTAAACTAAATGGCAGGAATTTTCTTGAGTGTGTACCCTCAAGGACCAGAATTTCTCTCAAGATGTTGATTTCTCCTAGCCATTGCAGTCATTGTGCCTTATTTCACTATTACAGCCAGGCCCACTCCATCTCCACACTACTCTCAGAGATACACTCACTTGGTGCTCCTTTTTTCTAGAAATATTGGGGTGGGAAAGGATAAGGTTACAACTGAATAATGTAAGCCAGGCAAATCTAGTATGGATTGGGTTCCTTCACTGACTATTAGCACCTCTTTGGAAGGCTTCCTAAACCCTTGTTGTCTCAGTTTCCTCATTTGTAAACTAGAGATGAACAGAACCTTAGTGAAACAGATAATCCATTTGTTAAAAAACTCTTCCAGAGCAGGAAAAAAAAAAAAAAAAAAAGACAAAACCTCCCAATCTATTCCATGAGGCTAGCACAACTTGGCTCTAAAAATCCACAAAGAGAGCAAAAGAAAATTGCAGTCCAGTCTTACTTATGAAAATAGATGAATAGGCACACGCCTGTAATCCCAGCGGCTCAGGAGGCTGAGATAGGAGGATGGTGAGTTCAAAGCCAGCCGCAGCAAAAAGTGAAGCACTAAACAACTCAGTATAGACCCTGTCTCTAAATAAAATTTTACAAAAAAAAATAGGGCTGGGGATGTAGCTCAGTGATGGAGTACCCCTGAGTTCAATCCCCAGTACTGCCCTCAAAAAAAAAAAAAAAAAAGATGAATAATCCCAAATAAAATATTATCAAATCAAAACTAATGATATTGGGCTGGGCATGTGGCTCAGTGGTAGAGTGCTTGCCTAGCACATGCAAGACCCCAGTTCAATCCCCAGGACCATTTTTTAAAAAAAAAAGTTTAAAATAAATACCAATCTTAGGAATGTAGGATAGTTTTGAACCATTACAAAGAGATCATGGTTAGACAGAGGATTGGATACATACAACTGACTTCATTCCCTCCTGAAACCCCACTAAACTAAGTGAAAAAATAAGACAAAAAGGAGAGGGAGAAAACCTCCATGGACAAGAGATATCAACATTACTTAAAAGGTGAAACTGATGAATGAAGAGCACTGACTCAGCAGAATTGAGCAAATGATTCTCTAAATGTCTTTGGAGGGAATGTCAATGACCAGTAGGGGAGTGGCTCCCCAGAATTCCCGAAAGGCTCAGGGGTGGAGTCACCAGGTTCTTAGATGAGGGCCTAGTGGAATGAGAGCAATGAAGTTTGTTGAAAGCTGTGAATGGAGAGGCTGGACCTCTAAGTCCCCTTTCACATCCCAGCAGGAGACAACAGGCTTGCTTTTATGGGATCATTGAACCGAGGGAGCTCCAACTCTGGTGTACCTGTGGAGGACTAAGGAGTTACCCATTTCCCTAGGTAGGAAGGGAGAATAGAAAGAAGTTAATCAATCATATTTACTGAGTGTATTAGCTTTCAATTATGATCATGAATACCTGAGACAGTCAACTTATAAAGACAAGAGGTTTATTTTACCTCATAGTTTTAGAGGTTTCAGTTCACGATCATTTGGCCCTGTTGCTTTGGTGCCTGTAGTAAGGCAGCACATCATGGTGGGAGCATGTGGCAAAGCAAGCCTGCTCATCTTATGAGCACGAAGAGAAAGAAAGAAAGAAAGAGGAAGGAATGGGGTCCCACTAGCTCCTTAAAAGGCATGCCTCACTGATGACCTGAAGACCTCCCACTAGGCCCCACCTCTTAAAGGTTCCACCACCTCCTAATAATACCACACGGGGAACCAAACCTTTAACACACAGGGACACTTAAGATCTAAACTGTAAAACTGAGTGTCTGGTGTGCTGAGCACAGACCATGTGTCCTGCTCAGTTCTAAGGGTTCCATATGGATGAATTCATTTTGTCTTCAAAACAACCCACCAGGCAGGAAGAAAAAAGTATTAAAGTAACCAAGACAGTTTTTTAGAACAACAAAGTAATGAGATTTACCCTACCAGATATTAAGACATATTAGAAAGCTATGATAATTTTTAAAATACAGTCTGAGTGTTGGAATAGATAGGTTAGATTATTATTTTCTATTTATAATAAAATGAAAAGTTACATTAATTCATTGGACAGATTAATTAATGTTAGAATAGGCATGTTTGATCCAAAGAATATAGAAACTCACCCTTACATAGAGCGTGATATGATAAAAATGACATTTCAAACCAGTAGGGAAAATAGTAAACAATTCAGTAAATGATATTGAGATAATTAACTATATACACTCTCAGAAGATATAAGTTTCAGATGGATTAATAACAACAAATCTAATACTTAGAACATATTAGAAAGAGACTATGGAAGGCCTTTGTAAATAAGACTTTCCTTTTTTTTTTTAATATTTATTTTTTAGTTTTCGGCGGGCACAACATCTTTATTTGTATGTGGTGCTGAGGATCGAACCCCGGCCGCACGCATGCCGGGCGAGCGTGGTACCACTTGAGCTACATCCCCAGCCCCAAGACTTTCTTGATGACATACTAACTGTATAACTTTGAACACATTGTTTAGCTTTCCGATATCTAGTTTTTGTTTTTAACAAACTAAAAAAAAAATGAAAAATAAAAACCAGTTGATTGGAGATACATAGTCAATAGAATGGAGATGAAAACAGTAGAATTATTGTGAAATTTACTCTGATCTGGCAGAGTAAGTCTCATTGGTTACATTAAACTTTGTGGTTTAGTACTTGTATCCAGTTCTGTATACCCCAGTCCCCTGGAGGTATTGAAATTTTATTTTTTCCTGCTGCTAGTAACAACATAGTTTGGTCTAATATGCAGATATTCCTCCCACGCACGTTAAGTCCTGTATCTCAGCTGCTCTAGAATTAATAAAGCAATGTTTTTCTTTGACATTTTTGACAAGTTCTTAACCACTGTTTGACTGCTTGCTTGTGGATATAAGATCATATTCACCTGTTCAAAAACAGCCAAGGATCAGTGAATCTTGGATATTCTGTGACTTTTCTCCCTTTCAGATCAGTTCCCGTAAGAAGATGATTGGTTTTAATTTAATTTAGTGGGCCCCCTTCGGGATGCGCTACTAGGTGATGTAGGATAAGCATTCGCTCCAGTCCTCTGCAGTAAGGAGAAATGCTTTACCATGTAGAAGTAAAAAAAAAAAAAAAAAAAAAAAAAAAAAAAAAAACTTTTAAGGTCTTTCCCCCCACCCTTTTGATCAGAAGGGTAAAAAGATAAAAGTTGCTTCATTGTCAAAACTGTCAAATTAGTGGTTTGGCTATATCTTCTCTTCCCAGATGACCAATAACCTGACAAAGTAACTGTACCTCTATCTAGATTCTATGATTCTTAGTTGCAAGGGACAGAATCTAATTTGAACCAATCCAGGAAAATTCCTAAGGGAAGTGGCTGGAAAGGAAAAGTTTGAGTAGAGCCTGGGGCATAGCTGGTTGGCCTGCATAGGTGGCCCTAACAGAACCATGTGGAATGGACTCCTCTGGAAAGAGGGGAGGCCTCCTTGCCAGGACTAGGGAGGATAAGGCTGAACTGGCAAAAGGAACAACTGTTTACACCAATAACCAAAGAAGTTTCCTGGATCAGCGCGATGCACATATGGTGCCTATATTGTCTTTGCCCGGAGGCTATTGTTGGGATGGAGGAATTGCAACATCACCACATTCTTGCTTGGTCATGAGGCAGACTGCCTGAGTCTATCTGCTTCAGTTCCTTTCACGTGTGTCTATATCGAGGCAGAAGACAATTTACCACTTCTGTTTCCTGTTTTGTCTCTGTTCTATTGTGATCTTCACTATATAATAATCCATTTTTGTTTGTTTTAAGAGGTTTTATTAGGGAAGGATAATGTACTATACATAAACATTGTGAAAGCAAATAATCATAAATCCTAAGAGGATTTGAATTAAAAAGTCTTCTAAGTATGGTTCTGGGTTTTATGTTCCCGGAACTGCAGAAATTTCCTGAGGCTTAGTCATTTATGTCAGAAGGTCTAAGTGCAGTACTTCTCGGCTCCACAGCCTTTTAGAATTGCCCTTGACATCAAATCAGGGGCTGGATCTCCAAGGGCAAGGAGTAGAGGAGGCCTCAGTCTCTCAGGGAACCAGAATCTGATTGGTTTCTACCGCAGGGCCATAACTAGGGCTTGTTAACCAATGCTTTACCACTCCTAGGGCTTCCCCAGCCCCCTCCACCTCAGTAAAGTCCAAGAGTCTGACTGTTTTCTCCAATTCTGTCTGCCTCAGGACAGGTTCCAACACCTTTTATTACGTTTTACTTCAAAATTAGGTTTATTTTTTCCCTCTGTGCTCTCCATCCCCCTCCACGCTCAGTCTCTGGCTGCCAGTCATTAGAGGCTTTGTCTCAAGCACGGTGCAGGAGAGTGGCTCTTGGTAACCATAGGCAACCATGAGTCTGTGCTAGCTATTTGTGCTGTATTTGTAAGAAGCAATCTAGTCACTGGGTACATGGGAAATATGCTTTAAAGGTTTTTTTTTTGTTTTGTTTGCAATAAAATATTATCATCATCTTCTTTTTTTTTCTGTAGAATGATCAATCCATGGGCGAGATGCAGATAATTGGAGGCGAGGATCTTTCAACATTGGCTGGAAAGGTTTGTTAATGTAACTCTGCTCAGTACACATTGATGTCTGGGGATATCAGTGACCTTCATTTCAGGTTAGCACTTGCAATACATTTCAGATACTCTCCCGGGTTTCCTAATTCATGCAAATAGATGTGTGAATCCTTTTAATGATTTCTTCCTTCTAAAACATGCTTTTTAGAAGGTTTCCAGGACACAAGGCAGACCTAATCCTTCTCCAAGCTTCCAATTCCAGTCTTATTTCAGACAACAAAAATCCTGGCCCTCCTTGCTCTGTTCTTGCTTGTCCTTTCAGGCATCTTCTTTCTGAAAAGGAAGGTTTCTGAATATTTGTCTGCTTTTTATCTCTACTCTATGCCTCAACACCTAGGCACTACATAGTAAAACATTTAAACAAGTTTGTTGAAATGTGCAAAATTGAGGGAGGAAAGAAAAAAGAACTTGAGAACACAAATTTTAGGTCTTTGCCTTTTTTTTTTTCCTCCTAATAGTATAAAGTAATCTATTAGATTATGGGGGGAAAAAAAAAACCACTTCCAATTTTAACTTGGAGTTCCAAAGCTGCTAATACCTAATTATGAAGTGAAAAGACTATTTGGATTCTGACATAAATACTTAAATTGGAAGGAAGAGTTGTTTCATAAAGCAGATGATCTTTGTGAAATGTGATTTGAAATGCAAATTTACTGTGAATGAAAGCCACTACCAAAGCAGAATTTGTTTTTGTTCACCTGTACTGACCTATCTTGTATTCATTATCCCTGAACACATTCAGCTTTCTAAGTCAAATGGATCAGTCTATTACACAAGCTTAATCTCTCATACTTGTGGTTGTTATTGTTACACAATCTCCAGATGGGAAACAAAGAGTGGCAACCACATTTAATAAAAATATGTATCATAATGGGAATGCCACAGAACCACAAAGATTCTGACTGCAAAACAGCCTGCTTCCCCTTACTCAGGAGACAACATTGGCAGCTCCAAGTATTAAATTGTCATCTAATAATAAATTTTGTTCCATAGCAATTGGAGTTAACTTGATAATGTTAATGTATTGCCAGACCATCATTTGATGTTACTACAATATCCTAGAAAGCTAAAATACTCCAAGCAATTTCTAGAGATTCATAACCTTATACAATCTTGGAGTGTGGTCTTTAAATGGTAAGTCACATTAGTACTTTGTTGTGTGACATTACCTTACAGGTTTATTATACAAGGGAAATATCTTGCCTTGTGCTTTTGCTATGAGGTCTGTCCCCAGTAAATGCCAAGAAAAAATATTGCACATAGAATTGTGCCCCCTCCTCCCTTTTTAAAGTGATTTTCCTCCTGAGCACTGGATATTCCCTTTAAGAGATGGGGTTGGGGGATGGATGAAGGAAAGGGTAGCTTCTTCCTAGGGATGGAGTGAGCAGAAGGGGTGACAGCTCTGTGCTTTGTAATTTCCTCCTGTGAATACTGCAAAGACCCCTGTGGGAAAGCAGAGATTGTGAATGTTCAGGGAGAAGAGTTGGAAAACCAGGAAGCTACTTTAATTTTCTGCTGACATGACAAATTATTTCTTCCAGGTTCCTGGGTACCATTGAGCTGTACCTTTACACTCTGTGTGTATGGATAGGTGCACATCTATATATGTTTAAATATGTGCCAAATAGAACTCCTTGGGCTTAGAATGCACCAGGTAAATATTTCTAAGATGAATCAACACTGATTAGCCAGGTTCTCAACTGTCCCAGCAACTCGAGTTTAGTGACTGTGCAGTTCCGGGTGCCCAGCTCCCATCAGAGGGGAATGCTAGATGAGCCATGCAGGCCACACCATATGCTTTCAAATATATCGAATCTGTCCACTCCTCTCATCTCCCTGGCTGTCACCCAAGTCTTGACCCATGCTACTCAAAGTTCAGGTTAGAGATCAGCAAATTTTTTTCTGTAAAGGACCAGATAGTAAATATTTTCACCATTTTCTCTTAAAATTGCTCAGCTCTGCTGTTATAGTATAAGGCAGCCATCTAGACACTATGGAAACAAATGGATGTGTCTGTATTCCAATAAAACTTTAATTACAAAAATAGTCAGCAAGGCCAGATTTGGCCCACAGGCTATAGTTTGCTGACTGTTAGTCTGAGAACCAGCAGGTTAGAGCCATGTCAGAACTTATTAGAAATGCAGAATCTCAGATCCCACTCCAGATCTGCTGAATTAAAGTTTTCATTTGAACCAGATCCCCAGATGATTCCTTTCTACATCAAGGTTTGAGAGGCACTGATGTTCCACGGTGAGGCCGCCTCTCTCCTTCTTCTCAGATGCTCTACGGCAACTAGGGTCCCTGAACTTCTACCTTCACTTAACTTTCACTACCCTCCAGACTATTCTCCCAGAAGCATCCAAAGGGATCTTTTCAAAATGCAAATTGATTCCATCACTTGCCAACTGAAAACCATTCAATGGCCTCTTAATTAGGGTTGTCAGACTCAGTGAAAACAAAACAAAAGATGCCTAGTTAAATCTGAATTTTAAATAATGAACAAAGGTTTAGTAAAAGATACCCCATGCATATTTAGCTTAAGTATGTCCCATGCAATATCTGGTACATACTTATACTAAAAAAATTTGTTATTGTTTACCTAAAATTCAGAGGTAGCTGGGTATTCTCTGTTTTTACTTGGCAACCCTACTCCCAGTGCTTCTGCAAATATGATCCAAATTCCTTACCGTAGCCTGTGTGATCTGGCCCTGACTCTCCACAGCACATCTTTGTGCATCACTGAACCCCTCCTCGCAGCACTGACTAAACTCCTTCCTGCCAAGATGTTGGACAATCTGTGGCTTCTCTCTAGTCTCTGTTTTCTTCCTGCCTTTCAGATCTCAGCCTAAATATCTCCTTCAATACTGGAGGCCTTCCCTAATTTGTTGTTTAAAATGAGTCCAGAATCTCACCCTCTATACTCTTCCCAGCCCTGGTTAATCTCTCTCTAGGTGGACACTGTTTTCATACAACCATTTCTGTTACAGGGGAGGTCTCCAGAACCAAAGTGACCACAGAGATCCACAGTGACCATTTCTTGTGATCCCAATGGAAAGACTTGAGTCACTCAGAGTAACAGGACAGAGTTTATTTAGTAAGAATGAGGATAAGGATGCTCAGGAGAGGCCCTGAGCAGACCATCTCTGTAGAGAACAGTATAGCTCTTACAGAATCTGGGCTTTCTACGGGATTTGGGTTCCTTTGTTCTTGCCTTAACCATATGAAGGCTTATTACCCTTGGTATAGCCCTTAGCAAATTTTCTTTGTGAGGGTCACGATGACCTGGTCACAAGAAACAGTTGTGACATGGTTTTGAAACAGTAATTCCATTAAGGGCTTATAATTAACTATGGCTAAAAGACATATCAATTTTGACATACCAATTCTCAGTTTTCCTGATGCTTGTCCGCTTTGATAAAGTTTTCTGTTACCCCAGTCCTGTGACTTATGGATTCACTTTGATGTACGTTTGATGTCCTCCCTATAAATTATCTGTCTTCATTATCCTCTCCTCCCACCCACTTATGACTTTCTACCTTATATTTCCACAATCTGTAGTATTTGCTTGGGGCTTTTATTTTCCTCTCTCCCCATTGGAAAGTCACCGTGAAGTGGACAGGCACCTTGTCTATCGTAGTCACCATCTTCTCTCCAGCATCTCGCAGGGCCAAATCCAGAACAGTTTGGAATAAATATTTGGTGAATAATGAATGAATGATCCTCTCACACAAAAATTGAGAAGACGTTTTCAATTAATTTCAGGGAAAAGGACGTGGCAGGAGCAAATTATAAATTTTAGCCAAATTGGCAAGTTTACTTTTGGTAAGTGATGGAATCCAGTTTGTATTTTAAAAAGATCTCTGTGGCTGCTTCCTGGAGAATGGTTTGGAGGGTAGTGAAAGTTAAGGGAAGGTAGAAGTCAGGCCTTTCACTTGAACAGATAAAGGCATTCATGTGACCCGCCCATTCAGCCATTCTTCAGCCAGCTCCTGAAAAGTTGTCCATTTAGAGTTGGAGAAAATTTTTAAAAAGAACTTGAGGAGGCCTTCTAGAATAGAAGAATAGAATCTTCCTATCATGAAGAATACATACTTGCTAGAAAAAAATATTCAAAGGAAAAGGTGCTCAACAGTTATTAGGTCTTTGTTTTAAAGGAAAGTCTGAAACTTCCATAAATATCTGCACAGGATGGAAGGGTTGTTATAGGCCATCATCTCGCCTCCCCCTTCTCATGTGGTCCTCATACGATTTTTCAGTCAACAAACTTACATTGAAGTTACCTTTATGATTGTTATGACACTGCCAGCAACTTGTACACATCTTCTCTCATTTAATTTTCAGCACCCAGAGAAAAGTTCCAATATTCTTTCCTTGGTTTTAAAAAAATCCAAAGAAGGAAGAATTCCTTGGGATTTCAATAGTCTTAGAGGAGAGTGTATTTTTTACTTGGGACCAGAAGGTCTGGAAAGAACGCAGAAGTGGGAGGAAAAGTGGAGTGGAATGGGGAAAGATGGAGAGCTAGACAGGAGGGGACTGGCGTGACTGCAGGAAATTAGAAACAAGGAAATGATAAGAAAACGATTGAAAATGTATGTTGGATTTGGTGTGTAGAATACGTTGAGTTTGCTTAGAAAAGCAAAGAGACGTCACAAAGCACTTGAGCCGAGGTGACATCTTGGAGCTGTGTTTGAAAAGCCACGCGACAGAAGAGAAGAATGAAAGTCGAGAAGGGAGAGGAAGCTGTCCTCTGGCGGTGCTGGTCCTGGTGGCCTGAGCAGGTGCATTAGATGAGCACTGGGGTGAAAGAGGAGGAGGAGGAGCACCAAAAACAAAGTGAGATAGAAAGGATTTTTTTTTACATGAAATTTGTTTCTGAAAGAACTTTGTAGAATATGGGGAAACAACTCACCTGCATCATTTTGCCATGCTCACAGTTAGCTGAATCACCAGCCCCATAACTCTACTATGTCAATTCTGGAACTCTCTAAAGATAAAGGAGTTAAAATATTTAGATAAAGGAGTCTCTAGACAGCCCCCGAGTACTTTTCTCTCTCTCCCTCTTCTTTTCTTCTTTTCTCTTTTTGCTTTCAAGAGAAGCTGGCTGAGTCATGGTTCTAAATAGGTCATTGCTGTTGAATAGAGGGAGCCTTAACAATTCAGTTAAATGGCCTCTTCAGCTCACAATGTTAAAAGCATTTTACTTGGTGTGTTTTGAGCTGTCTGCACCGCCGTGCTCTCTGGATGATTTTTTTTTTTCAAAGTTGATTTAATCCTGGCACTTCATAAAATGTGTGTATCCATTAAAGCAAGGTTTTATTCATGTTCAAGAGAAATCTCTGAAAGGGTGGAATAAAACCAAATGCATGGAAACAGACCCCTGTCTGGCAATGAGGAGACATAGATGTGCAGGTTGAGTGCAAGATTTTAGGAGACATGCTCCCCCCACACACACACCACCCCCAAAGGAGTTTCTCATCAAATGCCAGAATGAAGCATCGGAACTTGCCAAAATCTCCCCCTTGGCTGCCTGAACTGTTTAAATCATTCCTTTTTATTGGATCTGACTAGGCTGAGAACAATAATGGAAATGCCCACTGACTGATGGTTCTGGCGATTTTGTGAATTATCACATAAAATGAAATGCTGGACTACATTCCTATCTCCGTGGGGTTTATAGTTACTCTCCTACTCATGCTCAGCATCGCCTGTGCAGCTCACCTTCAAGACTCCATGGCCTTCTGAAAAGAATGACCACATCCGCAAAACTGCATTGCTATAGATTAGACAGTGTGGTTTACTAATCTTTTTGTTTTAAAAAATTAAAAATAGGAATAACTTGTTTAAGAAAATCATTTAGATTTTTCTAATTCTCTCCTCTTGCTTTCTTCTTCTCTAGGGAACTCAGTGTGACTAGCCTTGATCAGACTCATGTAATAGCAAAGAAAGAACACACTCTAGAGAGTCCCCACAGGATTTTGCCTACAGCCCCCAGGCTGAAGATTTTACTGGCTTTCTGGGAGGAAATGAGCTAGGTGTGATGAGATGACTAAGACAGTAACTGGCAAACATCTCAGATTCAGTGATCAGAGTTATCAGATTGGAAGTGTTTCCAAAGCACAATGTGTTCAGAAAAAAATTCCCGAGGTTGCCCACTCAAAAAATGGGTATTTTAAAAAACTGCTTAGTCCAAAATTAAAAGCTGTAGACATTAACTATAGTTTGATTAAGGTAGAATTTGAGATCATTAAGGAAATATGGAAGCAATCTGACAAAAGTAGAATGAACTAGACAAAGTAAAAGAAATGTGAGCAAAATTGTTAATTGATTTCACAGGCAGTTCTTGAGCAACTACCATATGCCAGTCTCCATGTATTGGTCCCTGGGCTCTTGGATCTCTTCTTGGTACATTAAAATGTAAAGACATTACGTCCTTTAGACACTGGTGAAAATTTTTTGTAAGTTAGAATAGTTAAATCTTCTCTACTCTTGGACCTTCATGTGACATCATCCCATGGTGGAAAGCAGAAGGGCAAGAGTAAAAAAGAAAAAGGGGCTTTAGAAAGTGATATAATATATAAAATATATGTACAATTATAAAAAAAACAATTTAAACTTTCTAGAATACATAAACAAAATGCATAAATTTTGAAAACTTGCTTTCATAATAACCCAGTCTCAGAACACTTAACCCCCTCCTGCAAAAATGACAAAAATCCATTCTTGAGGGCAGAGCACTCATGACCTAATCACCTTTTATTAGGCCCTAACTTCTAACATCCTTGCACTGGAGATTGTTTCCTGCACAAGCACTGAGGGGACACATTGAAACCATAGCAAGATTTGATGCATGGTCTTAGATTGAACAAATTAGTCACAAAGGCCATTTTAAGAACAAGTAGAAAATTTGAATATATAATTGGCTTTATATGATATCAAAGAATTATTTTTGTTAGATTAATAATACTGTAGATATAGACATGCATAATAGAAAATGTCATAACTTTAATTAATTTTAAAATAATACCTAAACATTTTTCATTCATTAAACAGTTAAATATACATCAAAAATTTGGAAAATCTTAGGGCTAGGGGATAGCTGAATGGTAGAGTGCTTGTCTAGCTTGCATGAGACCCTGAGCTCTAGTCCCAACATCACAAATACATACATAAAAATTAGAAAATCTTTATATTTTCTGTTTTCAAAATTTATGCAATTTTATTTGTATTCTAGAAAGTATAAATTGTTTTTTATAAGGGTATAAATATAATATATAAAATACATATATTCTATATATTATATCACTTTCTATAATTTAAAAATGAATATTTATTTATACTTAAACCCTTTTTTAAGAACAGCAACCTAAGAATTTAAAAAATTATACATTTATACACACATGCGCACACACACACACAAAACTTTTGTGGGATGGGTACGAGGGATTGAAGCTGGGGCACTCTATCACTGAGCTACATCCCCAGCCTTGTTTATTTTTTATTTCAAGACAGGGTTTTGCCAAGTTGCTGAGGTTAGCCTCAAACTTGTAATGTAATTGGCTTTAAAAGATATCAAAGAATTATTTTTGTTAGATTAATAATACTGTAGATATAGATATGCATAATAGAAAATGTCATAACTTTAATTTTAAAATAATACCTAAACATTTTTCATTCATTGAACAGTTAAAATACATCAAAAATTGTATTTTTGTCTCAGCCTCCCAAGTAGCTGAGATTACAGGATGTGCCACTATGCCCAAACAAAACATATTTTTAAATATATTGGGCTGAGGGCATAGCTCGAAGTGGTAGAGAGCTTGCTTGCCTAGAATGCTTGAGGCCCTGGGTTCAATCCACAATACTGCAAATATATATATTTCGTATAATATATACTTATATATTTATAATGTATGGGTGTATGGGTGTTAGAAATGCTAAAGTAGCAGCCAGAAAAACAGCTAAAAGAGATAAAAGTGACTGCCTATTGGAAGCAAAATTGGGTGTGAGGAGAGGTGATATGGGAGAGGGGTGTTTTTCTTTAAAACCTTTCAATCCCCCACCTTCAGAACCCAGGGGATAGGGCCTTGCCTGTGCTAGGCCAGAGATCTGTCTCTAAGCTACATCCCCAGATCTTTTTTTTTAATTTTATTTTAAGACCAGGTCTCACTAAGTTGCTCAGGCTGGACTTGTACTGGGGATATTCCTGCATCAGCCTTCCGAGTAGCTGAGAGGCATGCTCCACCACATAATCTCAAAATGTGTTTGAGTAATTTTGACAAAATATCTCAGGATTGGTACACATCCAAATCCCACTTCCAACCACCGCTATTTCCTAAAAATTGTGGCTAATCTTTTCAAAGATGACTCTTCTGTTTTGCAATATTCTGTACTGTAAGAAAAAAAAATCAGATCCAATTATTTTTAATACACTCTACTCAATTAGACAAGAATGCACGCTAACATATTTTAGAAAGATTTTTCTTCATAAAATGAAAAGAAAAAGATTGTGAACCAGGAAATTAGCCAAACATTCTTCCTGGTTGGTTAGTAGACTTGGTTAATAAGCCTCAGATGAAAAATACTCATTCCAACTAACTACTGTGGAGTAATGGTTAAGTTCATAGCAAATCATGTTCAAAATGCCAAGGGACTCCTCTATCCATATGACTCTTGGAGTAGGGAATATGATGGCTTGAACCACTTCAAAATAGACAATATAATCTTGCATCTTAATGATAATTTAAATGTTAATAGATTTAATTAATACAAATATCATGGCTGACAGAAAAACACTTTCAGAAGGATATTTCTATGGAAGAATATGTTTGACACGTGGTACAGATTTAGCAGAGTTGTTGGGTGGGTGGTTAACATTTTTATTAATTAAATCTTTTGCAATAGAAAGAACAAAGGTATCTACTGTGTAAAATTTGATCCAGTTTCTAAAATATTACATAAATCAAATAAATGAAAGGTAACCTAAAGAAAGAAAAAAAATCCTGTTACTTTGAGAGAATATTCTCAACACAGTTAATTGGAATAGCATATTAATAGTCATATTTTAATTTGTTGGGACAACATTAACATGTTACTACTAATTCAATTAATTGGTTGATTTTAACTCATTAATAAGCTGTAATCAGTTATTATTATTTCATTCAACAATGATGATTGAATATCTATATGCTGGCATTATGGCAAAGTCTGGTAATACAATCATACCCAGGACAAACATGATCCCTACCATGTGGAGTCTAGTGGGGAAGACAGATATCAAACAAGAAATTAAAAAGAAACATAATCAGTATTCTCTGGGGGAGAGGTAGAGGACTGCCTTATAAGCGTGTAGCAAAGGCTCTAATCATCTCACTAAGAATCTGTACCAGAGCCCTAACAGCTTCCTCTAGCCACCCCTTTCATCAGGGTTGAAAATCCCAGGGTAAATACTAAGTCCCTGGGGATTTGGGTGGCATCATATTCTAAAACAGGGTTGTCACAGCCAATATGGGATCCATCTACCAGCCACTGTTTCCATCAGTGATTCAGTTTATGTTGACTTATTTTCCAGAGAAACCTTAGTAAGCTTTGCAGACCAAAGAAATGCTGAGTGGAGACATGTAGCAGAATTTTTGAAGTGGGATCACTTTATAGATGGCTCTTCAGACAGATATTAGGGTCTAAGATGATCCTGCTCCTAACCTGAATATACATACAAAAATTGTAACCCCAAGTAATTCAAGAGGGATTGTTAAACTAATTCTGAAGTACCTACCTTACCTCCAATCTTTTAAATTCGATAGTGGGGGGAGAACCAACTAAGCAAGCTGAGATTCTCGCTAAACCAAGCTTGTGTTTATCTCATGAGCCAGGTTGTCATCATATTCTAAAATATGGATTTTGTTTATTTCAGAATGTCCTCATTGTTGAGGTAAGCTGCCTTTTCTTTTTCTGTGTTTGGGAGTTGCATGGATCCAAGGGTGAGTTTTAAAATGTACGACTTGTTATCAAATTGGCCAAGGATTTATGGAGTCCTCACTGTGTGCGGTGGTTCTCCAAATTTATCAAATCGGAGCCAACTGTGATCACTAGCTTCAAATAATTTCTAGAATCAAAGCTCTGCAATAATAGCTGTGTGGTACTTTATCCTGTTTTATATCCAATTTCATGCATGACTAAATTGGTTCTTATACCTATTTGTGAATCAGACAGTTGTAGAGAGGAGTAAATTAGCACTCAGAATCAAATTTATTTAACAGTAAAATTAAGGTTAGAACTCTCTTTACCCTTAATTCAGGATTCTGGCTTATGTCCTCTAATGATTCCCATCAATTTTCAAGTACTTGGAGCCTCAAAATCATAAATAAAACCAATTAAAAATGGTAATCGAAGGGAAAACTATGACCTTTTAAATTAGTCTTTTTCTGTTAAAAATAAAAGGGGAAAAAAAAAAGCGAGTTTCTGGTAGCAGTGGACTAATACAGCAAATGGCCATGTTTCCTTCAGGAGCATGCCTGCCTTATCAGTTGGCAAAAATTCAGGGGAGCTGTTCTTGGGCTTTTGTTCCACAATTGCCTGCCTGTGCCTTCTGGATCCGCAGTTCTGGCTCCACACAACCCATGGAGTGGACCCTCCAGCCAAACGCATTGCCCACCCCTGGCTAAATTCAGACCTGTTATATAGATAATCAGCTCCTGACAGCTGATTTCTGTCCCAAGGACAATAAATTGCTGCAGCCCATTCTACTCTAATTGTGCAGCAGCAGCTCATCAGCAGAGATGAGCCTGGGCTCACTGCAACCTCAGACCCTCAGAACTCACAGGCTGTCACCAGCTGCTACCCAGACACATCTCACTTCCCAGCCAGCGAATCCCCTAGTGAGTCGGGAAGACAAGGAGGGGGTGGCTTATCCATTCAGTGTATTCAGATGTACATCCCATATCCATGAAAATTCATGTGTCATGTATTGTGTTACATAACCTCAGGGCCAAATTTAGTCCTTGAATGTGCATGCATGAGTCCCAGTGTACTCAATGAGGAGAAGCTGCACATGGTCTCAAAAGGCCAAATTTAGCCCTTCAACACAGTTCAAGGATGCAAGGAAGTATTCACCAGTATGTGCCCCAAAACTCAGCTTCCAGAAAGAAGTAACTAAGAAAACAGAACCAACTCTGCTTCCTTGATTCCAGTCAGATAGTATTTGTCCTTATGATGCACTGTTAACAAGGAAAAATCTCTCCAGGTGAGAAAGCTATTATGCTGCTCAAATGCACTTTACCAAACTTGTCTGTCCTTTTGCTAAGGATGTTGTTGGAACTGGGAGGACCATGAAAGCCCTGCTCACCAGCATAAAGAAATACAAGCCCAACATGATTAAGGTAGCCAGGTGAGTAAGACATTCACAGCATGCTGATTTCTCTTCTTCCAAACAAGCCCAGGAGGGATCCTCACACAGGATGGCTATTCCCCAAAAGTGTTTCTAGTCCTAATCACTGGCCCTTCATCCCAGAGCGTTATGATTTGATCATACTGAAAAATAGCCCATTTGATTGCTACCCTGAGAGAGGAAAGAGGAAATGATGTGCTTTGCTGTGTTTCTGAGCCCCTCTTGACTATGCCTCCATAAGCCATTTCCAGGAGCGGCTGGATGAGCCCCCATGCAATTGCTGGGCTCTCTTCCTTTTATCCTGAACCATTGATGTAGTGCCACAGCAGCAAGAGCAGGAATAAATAAAAGGGTTGTGATGATGCTTCACAGGCTCAAGGGAAAAAAATACATACTTCAATGATGTTTAATTCTATCTGCAATTCACTGTTGAAATCACTGAAGCAATTTTTGTTTTGTTTTGTTTTAATGACAGTTTGTTGGTAAAGAGAACACCTAGAAGTGATGGCTTTAGACCTGACTGTAAGTGGTTTTTGGTTTGGGGGATTTTTTGGTATATTTTTGTTTTGTTTTGTTTTGTTTTGGTGGAAGTGCTTTGTTTTGTGCTTAATAGTTATTGATTTCCCATTTTCTGGCAGTCTAAAGTGGAAGATATTGTAGGACTGATAATCCCACAAATTTCTTGTCTTCTCTACCTTACAGAGATTAGGACCCTTTCAAATGGAAGGTATTAAATTTCATTTGCATCTTTCACAGGAATTTCAGGGCATTGGATATTGTTGTTTTGGGTTTATGCAGCGCCTTAACTTCAAAGAACTCAGCTGATCAGTTTCAGGGGAGAGGAACAGTTATGGAGCTGGGCTATTTCAGACACTGGCTGCTATACCTATCAGTCACAGAGGCACGGAAAGAGTTTAGAAGGATCCTCATACCACCTTCAGAAACTATTAACAGACAATGCACAATGGTGACCTTCAGCCAGTCTGAATTTTAGCACACCGGAATGTACGACCTCTCCCCACCACCAAAGAGAAAAAGCAGAGCAGATACCTCTAGGTAACATCTTCATCCTTTCAGACGTGTATTCTACAGGGCTTTCCTCATCGAGGCCACTTTCCCCTCCCCACATATTAGGACCATAAACAAGCAGCCAGATTATTTATTATTCTAACACTAGAGGCGACTTTTTTTTTCACTTGCATAAGGAAGAATTCAGCTTGATTTTTATAACTTACATTTGTTCTGAAGTCCCTGGATAATTTGGCTACAATTCTCATCAGCAAGCTGAACAAACATTAGAGACAGGCACCGTATGGATGGGTCATGTACCAGTGACTCTTTATTCTAAAAACAAGTCTCATTCTTCTGCTAGATGTACTGACTCTAGACCTTGTCAGTTCTGCACAGACAGATTCAATCACATGTTCCTATTGGTTCCTGGCTTCAGAAATCTAATCTGTATTCCTAAGTTACCAAACAGAAATTTTATAAGGAAATCATATAATATTTAGGTAAGATTTGAAATGAAGTTGAAAAACATTCATTTCAGACATACTCAATTAATTCCAAATTTATTGTCTGTGTCACTTATAACAACAACATACATAAAGTAATGACACCTAATACTTGAAAAAGGTGGTGGTGTGCCAGATACTGTTCAGGGAGCTACACAGATAATTTGTGTCATTCTTACAACAGCCCTCTAAAGGCAGCTGCTATTGTTATACCCATTTAACAGGTGACAAAATGGAACACAGTGATGTTAAATAGCTCGACAAGGCCATAGCCACACTGTAGGGCCAAGATTGAACCCGGGCAATCTGTTTTCCGTAATGGCAATTGCAGATTTAAGTGTAGGAGCTGCACTCCTTTGCCATTGAGTGATGGGGCACTTTGATTCCTGACTGTCCTCCTATCCATCCTCTTCCTTTTGTTCCATGACATGTTAGGGTTCAGCCATCTAAACTGGCTTTGTGCTCTGATTTTCCCAGTCTGAGCGGCCACGCCTATTGTAGGGGCTGCATTGCTCCCTGTGAAGTCATTGTTATTGTTACCCACAGGGTTTCCTGGGATCTGCTCACATTTTTTCAGTCAGCTCAGAATCTGTGTTTCTTCGTTCTTTCTGGATTGCTGAGGCTTTGCACTTTTTGTTCCTTTCTCGTGGACTCTTTCTTACTTGCGCAATGTAACCTCTGACATCTTTTCTTCTGCTCTTTAATTTTTCTCCTCTTTATTCTTCTTAAGAAACTCTGCAATTTGGAGGAATTAGACAGGGTCCCTGACAGTGGTCTCACAATTCATTCCCCTAGAAAACCCACCTCTGGCACATTCTGTAAATAGGAGCCAGTTGGGGTCTCCACATGAGAGTGTCTTTGGTCATAGAGATGGAAATGGTGGGGCATAATCAGCAGGAAGATAACTCTGTGCTGTAAGCCCATCAGCAGTACCAAAGGACAGTTTCATAAAAGTACGCAAGCACATTTCTCCTCTGTTACACTGTAATCATCAAACTTATAAGATTCTAAAACACTGAAAAAGTTTGAAAAATCATTAGACCTAGGCACATTTATTCTGTCTCAGGTGTGGACCTCTGAAGAAGGAGAGCTCTTGTCTGTTTCTTAAGGGACCCCTTCAATTAAAAAAATATCACCTTCCTTTCAGTAAAGTCTTCTTTTACTCACCGTAGGTACCTTGTGCTGCATTTAAATCCATTTCCTCTTATTCCACCCTCATTAGAGATAAAGAGCTAATTAGTAACCTCTGCATTGTGGACTCAAAGACCAGCATTAAAATAAACCTGAGCATTCTCTTCCTCAAGCTGAAGGATCCCATTTCTTTTCATCTTGTCCCCCAGGTTTTACTCCCCAGCCCAGGACACTGATTCTGTAGGAATATTGCTTCTCAGTTGCTGAGATCTTCGTACCTGTTCATGTTTGCAATGCTATGATACTTTCTGTTTGAACTGCCCTTAATGCTTTTCAGAGAATTTCCTTTGGTTTTATGTCATTACATAAAACTGCACGTGAACAATAGGGCCTCATGACTAACTCACACACACTCCTTATCTTCTGAGCCTCTTGAGCCCTTCCTCAACTCTGTGCACTGGGAGTCCAGTCATGTATGTTTGCTTATTTGCCTTGTTTCTGCAAGTAGTCATTCCGGTCAAGGTCCCTATTGGGCTTGTCGTGTGCATTGCTCACCATGAGTCTTTCTTATTTCCATCCAAATGCAAAGTCTTCACTGTTTTAAGTGCCAAAAACAGCATATGGTGACATTAGACTTAACGTACTCTGAATTATGCTTTTTTTTTCTCTCTCTCTCTCTCTTTCTTTCTGCTAAGATGCTGGATTTGAGATTCCAAACTTATTTGTGGTGGGATATGCCTTAGATTACAATGAATACTTCAGAGATCTGAATGTAAGTCTTGCATGTTAACCCTAATTCCCCTTTTCATAAGAATTTAACAGTGACATCAATTTAACAAATCTTTTAAATAGTAATACTAATAACCATTATTCAGTGGGTCTCTTCTGTGTCTGGATATATTGGGCAATTTTCATCTGTACTCCCAATTAATTCCTACCACCACCCTGTAAGATTGGGATTAGGATGATGGAAGCAAATGATGATTATCTCTATTTTGTACTAAAGAAATAGGAAGCAAAAAGCACAATTATGGCTCCACATTGATTTTTCTTCAGAGTTATTGACCATGTCCAATCAATCATAATGATAGCTAATATTCTCTAAAGTGGTTCATGTCAGTACTTGAAGTCTAACAGGTTCCAATTACAGTGGCATCCAGCTTGTTACCATTCCCCCTTTTGGGATTCAACATACAGACACCAACCCCCAGTGTGGGCCGAGCTGTGTGACCCTGATCAATCCTGAATGATGTCGAAGTAGACATTTTACCAAAAGTGGAGCAATCAGCATCTTACTCCTGGAAATTAGAAACTTAAATCAAAAGTCACAGAGACCTAGAGTCTTTGGACATAAGCCACTATAATATCAGCCCCAGAGAGCACCCACAAGCAGCATGGGCCAGTCTCCGACACCCTTGTTCCTGCCTTTCACCTGTTTTATTGCTCAGCTCTTTCTTTGATTGTATTGGCATCCTACCAATAACCGTCCCCCCATTTTTTGCCTACATTAGCCCTACTCCATTTCTGTTATTTGCAATAAAAATATTCCTTACACATGTCTTGTTACCCAAAAATGGTTGATTAGGAATCCATGATATGGGGCTGGGGATATAGCTCAGTTGGTAGAGTGCTTGCCTCACATGCACAAGGTTCTGGGTTCAATCCCCAGCACCACAAAAGAAAAAAGAAAAAAAATCCATAGTTTATTTCCACTGTTATTTCTTTGGTTACCCAAGCAGCTATAATTTTACTAGTAGAAGATTTCTGTTTCCACCAGGGATAAATATGCTGGACTCTTAGTGTTTCTAGTTTTGGGGACCTGGGAAACCAAATTCAAAATAGGGTTAAGAACTAAAACAACAAAGAAGTCAGACAGAGCAGCACACACCTGTAATCCCAGCAACTCAGGAGACTGAGGCAAGAGGAGGATCACACATTTGAAGCCAGCCTCACAATTTAGCAAGAGCCTGTCTCTGGCAGCTGGGGTTGAGGCTCAGTGGTAGAGCACTTGCCTTGCACATGTGAGGCACTGGGTTTGATCCTCAGCACCATAAAATTAAATAAGTAAAATAAGGGTTTTGTGTCCATCTACAACCAAAAAAAAAAAAGAACCTCTCTCTGTATAAAACATAAAATGGACTGGGATGTGGCTCAATGGTAAAGTATCTCAGGTTCACTCTCCAATACCAAATAATAATAAAACAACAAAAAAACCTTTTACCAAGCATTTAAATGGGTATCTTTAGATTTTTCGCACATCCAAATACACACATACGTGTTTAAATGAGCAAAAACCAATACAAGGTAGCATTCTATTATTGCTACATCATATTTTCTGTGCCTTGTATTTTGTTAAGAAACTGATACATGTAAATCCCTTATTGTTTCAGCACATCTGCGTGATCAATGAACACGGTAAAGAAAAATATCGAGTCTGAAGAAGCAAATTCTTACCATCGACTTCCCAGATAACATCATTCTTACTACTATACTACACTCAGGAAGCCAGCCTGTAAAATCTGTCTCCCCGGGGGCGACTTCACGCAACAGGATGTAAAAGAAAAAAAAAAACGTTTTAAGTGAAAGCTTTCTTTTCTGAGATATAAAGAGTACTAAAGGTTCTTAAGGAAAAGAAAGCAGTGCTTTTATTTGACTTGTTCCAAATTCAACACTCCACCTTATGACTCATAAGTTCTCTCCACCTTCACACTCCTGAGTTACACCTTCTTTTGTTTTGATAATCATTATGTTTGATTACCATTCCCAGGAATACCCCCACTTAGTTACTCATATATTTTTCACCTAACTTTTTTTAATACCTTCATTTTGTAATATTTTATGCTATTAACTGGGAAACCTTTTAAAGTAAGTCCTGAGCTGACATACTAGGAATGCAGCTAGATTCCCATGCTAAAAAAGGGAGGGAAAGGATAACTTAGTATAAATTCCTGTTTGCGCCTCTCTGACAGGACATCATTATCTGCTGTGACAAAGCCTTTCAGAAAAGCAGGGTACGATGAATCTTAATGATGTTATGAAATGAGCCTTTGCTTAGTGCTCTTGATCGGAGCTTCCGGTATGTGATGACAGTGTGTCGTGTATGCATGGATGTACTCAACTGTGTTTAATACTCTGAATTTTAATTAGAAAAGACACAATGGCAGCAAGGCCCTGGTTCCTACCCTGTACCCTTTCATTCACGTGGGACCTGAGCAAATGGCGGAATTGAGTAGGGAGTGTTTTCAATGCATGAAACTAAGCAAGTATAAATTTTTCCTGTTATTTGCATCAAAGGCCAAGACACTATTAAGTATTGTCTGAAACATGAACACAGAGATTGAATTATTTCCTTAAGTGTCCTTATAAGACCAATGGCAGAATCCGAGGTGCTACGGGAAACAAGCTTACCTACAAAAGATTTTTTTTTAACCAAATAAACACTTTATTATTATTATTATCACTGCTGTCTGAGACATTTTCTAATTTATGGGAATTTTAATTCGAAATAAATTTGAATGCCAATAGAGCTGTTTTTCCTTACTTCCTAAAAGAAGTAAATGCAAAAAATAAATAAGCAGCCTTTGTTTGGTTCTGAACCAAATGTGATGTATTGTTATTAGGTTCCAGCTTCCTTTAAACTAATAAAACAAATAAGAAAACTTGTTATGTTTTATAACTGCTAACTGTTTTTTCTTCCACCTTCATATTTTCTATGTACTTTTAGCTATTAAAATATGTATGAGCCAGTAGCTTCAATACACCACTGCAGATACTATCCTGTGGCTATTTTTGTTCACCTGGTTTAAATCCAATGTATGCACTACTAATATAAGCAAATGATTGAGCCAGGCTAGATTTGATAGGCTTCCCCTTGCCCTGGGCTCATTTGTAAGAACAAGGAATTTTAGTTGTAAAGGATTTTTCTGCATATCTTCGTTTCAGTCCAAGAAGAAAACAAACCACACCCAGATATCTCAAGAGAGGGAATCAGCAAAGGGAATTCCTCTCTAGTTTTGCTCCATAGAAGGATCGGTACCCAAGTTACAGATTAATAATTGTGTATAGCTAGCCAATTTCTTGAAATATCAGAATTAATATTCTAAACATAATTTTCGACCATGCCACATTTTATTGGAAGACCTAGAAAAATCCAGACATGCATATGATCTTAAATACAAATCATCTATACATTATAGAGTACAAAAATATTTTCTTAAAAATCTTGAATTTTACCAGATACGGTGGCACACACCTGTAATTCCAGTGACTTGAGAAGGCTGAGACAGGAAGGATCACAAGTTCAAGGCCAGTCTTGGCAATTTAGGTAGTCCCTTTCTCAAAAATAAAAAGGGATGGGGATATAATTTAGGGATAAAGTACCTCTGGGTTCAATCTGCAGTACCAAAAAAAAAAAAAAAATCAAAAAAATATATGTACACACACATTGAATTCAATGTATATGAGTACACTTATTAATTTAGTGTTCCAAAGCGTTTAGCTTTGAAATAACTAACTAGCCCTTTGTTTTTTATTTCTGTTTTCTTTAGCCTTTTTCTGTCCATAAAACCATTTTCCTCTGCTTGCCCCATAGGATACTTATTCAGTTTTATGGAATGAAATATTGCTTGATTTTAGAATCACAAAGCCAATTAAGATCTTTAAACTAAAATTGGTTGTAATTTTTGTCTTTTTACAAGACACAAATTACTAAAATTAGGAATGAGAGAGTTGGCATTACTACAGGTTATACAGATACTAATTGGATAATAAGAATATGATTAACAATTTTTATGCCTATAAATTTGATAACTTAGATGAAATAGACTTATCTTGAAAGGCTTAAACTCCCAAAGCACAATCAAAAAGAAACATAAAACCCCAAACAGCTCAGTAGGTATTAAAGAAATTTTAATTTAATTCTAGAGAAAACCTTTATGTCTAGAGAATTTTTCTGATAAATTCTACCAAGCATTAAAGAGAAAATAATATCAATTATACACAAACTCTTCTGGAAAAAATTTCAAGGAAGGAATGCTCTTCATTCTATGAGGTCAATATTATCTTGACAAAATAAAAACCCGACAAAATATTATAAGGAAAGCAAATTATAGATGAAAATTCCTCATGAACATAGATGCAAAATTTTCTCAACAAAGCATCAGTAAGTTCAATCAATAATGTATAAAAAGAATAGCATCATGATCCAAGTGGGATTTATCCTAAGATTATAAGATTGATTTAACATTCAAAAATCAATATAATCCATCATTAATAAGCTAAAAAAGGAAAACCTTATGATCATTTAAACAGATATAAAAAATAACTTTGCCAAAATTTAACATCAATACCTGATTAAATCTTTCAGTAAATTAGGAAAAGACTGTCATCAACCTGATAAATGATATCTCTAAATGTTTGTTGATTGAAATGGAGCTAATAAAGTTATTTTGTTCTGTTGACCTAATTTGACTTTCTAGAGTACCAGCATTAGTTCCAGGAATAACAAATTTTAAAATGCAGAGGATAAGAGAGAGCAGAAAATTGCAAAGAAGAAAGTAAAATGTGGGCCCTAAAAAAAAATGAATAAAGGAACTTGACAGGAGATCTAAGGCTAAGGTAGAGATTTAGGCAATTGGGGTTCAGTTGAAATGCTAGGAGGAATAGGGCCTCACCTCCATTCTTTTTTTTTTTTAATTGTATTTTAGTTATAGATAGACATAATATCTTTATTTATTTATTTTTATGTGGTGCTGAGGATTGAACCCGGTGCCTCACCCGTTGTGAGGCAAACATTCTACCACTGAGCTACAGCCCCAGTCCCTGTACCTTCATTCTTGAGAATCAATTCCAAGGTTCCTGATCTCCCTCGAAAGGGGAAGCCAAACTTGGATTTATTTCACTATAAACAGGATATTTTTCTCAATTCTCTGGTCAGACACTAAAGCAGGAGGATCACAAGTTCAAAGCCAGCCCAGCAACTTAGGGAGGCCCTGAGCAACTTAGTGAGACTCTATTTCAAAATTTAAAAAAATACAAAGGGCTGGGGATGTGGCTCGGTGATTAAGCACCCCTGGATTCAATCCTGGTACTACTACTACTAATAATAATAGGGGTCTGGGGTATAGCTCAGTAGTAGAGCACTTGTCTGGCATGTGCAGGGCCCTTCCTGGCTTTCATCCTCAGCGCTGAAAAAAAAAAAAAAATTCCTCTAAAATGTGCCTTGGGGTTCAGAGAAGGAGCGCAAGGACAGAAGTCATGGTTTCACTTTCATGTCCTTTCAATTATGTTAAGCTAGTAAAACTTTCGTGAGCAAGGGTCAAAGGCGATTTTTCCTGGTATTTAAAATATATATGCTGATGAACTTCTCTTTGTACATATATATTGATAGAGTTATCCTTCAGATTATCAAAAACAAAATGTCTCTCAAGACATTTTAGATTTATTGTCCCTAACGTAGTTCTGGTTTTTATTGCATACTGTATATGTAACCACTATTCAATTACATAGTATCTAGTTTCAATATCTTCAAGTCTATGGCTTAAATAGCATTCTGAATACTTGAATTCTGTTGTTTGCAAAAATCTACATTTCCCCATTTTATAACATTGTTTATCACACATACCACAAAGTGCTTTATGCTTTAATTAACAGAGCTGCTAAACTTTGCTCAACTGTAGTTGCACCCTATGACTCATAAGCTTTTTCTTTTAAAAATTTGGTTCAACAACATCTGGAAGCTTATATAAGGAGAGATGGTATTCTTTACAATCAGTGATTTTTTCGGGACAACATGTTTCTGCAATTGGCAAGCTTTCATTTTTCTCTGAGTTGTTGCTCTTTTCATGTAGTCTAACATTGGCAACTTAAATTTTCCCTAAAGATTAACACATGCAAGGACTTGGTCAAATACTGTAAACTTTTGCAATGATTGATTCCTAAATCTCTTCTATTAATTTATTCTGAGTTGGTCCGATCTTGAAAAACGAAAACTAGAAATAATTGGGAAGGAGTTAGAAGAAACAAAAATATCAGTGTTACATACTTTACGTGCAAGATATTTCTTTTAGAGGAACTTACATCATGAAATTTTTGTGGTCTCTTTGATAATCACTAAAAAGAAGATAATGATCGGATTTTGCAAAATGTATCTCTAGATTCTATCAACTGTTTTTTTTTTTTTTTTCCTACCTAGATGTTTTTTCACATCCTTTCTGACTCAGAGTCTTTCAAACAGAGATAAATTGCACATGATATGTGCACTACTGTATGGTCTCAAAACGTGTCCCTTGAAATTCTAATGTTCTTGCTTTTGTGTCTTACTATGCTTTGATTTGGAAGTAGGGAAGTAAGCCTGCTATCAAAAAAGGGGAATTACATACTCTTAGAGATCTTTTAAAAATATCCCACTGTTGTTTCTTCAGGTAGAAAAGTAGCTCAAGTATTCTCCATGTGTCTGCATTTCCCTTTTGCTGGGGAAAAAAAATACTTTAGGAAATAACAAATACACTGTGATCAGACTGAGCTAACAAAGAGACAAATAATTGGTTCTTGATACTTAAAATGATGAAAATTCATTTTAGCAAAAAAGTGTTCACATCCCATACAGGATGATCATCAATCATTAATACTGATTATAAATAAGGTATTCAACAAAAGATGTTTTATGCTTATCTCTACCTGGGAGTATTTTAGCCTCCTACATAGTGTATGGGTCACTTAATATCCAGTGGTCTAAAGTGTTTTAATAAATGTAATATTTCTACATCCTCATTCAATCTTTTTTTCCATCATGTTTCATTAAAGACTAAATTGTTTTGACAAGTCCAAAAGGAAAGCAGTTTGGGTTTAAAATAATTCATCTTGTTTTGAAGGGAAACTAGTCCATATGCTTGAGATGCTTCCAGCAAAAATTCTTTGAGGTCTCGGCATAGTTTCAAGCACTGGTAATTTTTCAAAGCGTTACCAGTGTCTGTCCTCCCTCATATCCATCCCTAAGTGAGACATTAAATACCTAGGTCTTATCTGGGCAACACAGTATCCCAGTTTAAGAAATTACTATTTGTAGCCAACAATTATATTAAAAAATATTCAACATCGTTAGTAATTAGGGAAATGCAAATCGAAACTACACAGATTTCATCTCACACCAGT